TAAAGCTTTTTTTTTCATGAATATGACACACGAGTAAAGTTGTATTTAGAGGAAATCTAATCCAGCAAAAAACTTGAGAAGATGAGATCTTCCAATGTAACAGGGTGTCTGCTAGGGTAAGGTTATCAGCAATTCTTTTGATGGATTTGAGATATTCTTCCATCTTCAAGTTGCCTTTTGCATTTTAACGAATTCCCTTTTGTAAAAAATTATATTTGCTCTTGTTTTTACTGCGAAGAGGTCCCGGATTCCATCCCAGAGGAGTTTTGATGTTGAGTGCCTCATCAGTTTGGGGGCTATGTTTGTTTCAATCGAGCTGTAGAGCCAACATAGTAACATATGATCTTGTGCAAACTAGTCTTCGAATTCTGGATTCACTATGATTTCGACTTCAATGCTTCCTTCTACAATTCCTTCTGTGTATTCTGGTGGGCTTGATTTAGCACCAGTGAGGAAACCTTCAAGTTTGTTTCCTCTTATGATTGAAAGTACCAAATTTGTTTAGAGGAGATAGTTGTCGTGATTGAGTTTTAGAGTATACACAGAGCTCATTGAGCTGCTAGACAAAATTTGAATTTTTTGAGGTGTTGGGTTAAAGGTTGAGGAGTTGTTGTTCTCTCCTACCTTAACCTTACTCTGATACCAAGTTAAGAAAACAAGTTGTTTTCTTAACTAATCAAGCAGTGAAATACATAAAATGTGTTTTTTATCCAACCCCCCTTTTTCAACCTCTGTTTTGATTTAGTGTATTCCACTTTTGTTTTTTCGCCAATAAAATATGTTTTCTGAAACTTCATAGGAAGCCAAAGCTTCACTCAAATTAGCGCATGTCCGTAAGCCTACCACACTACAATTGATGAACTATTTTTTATAAATTTAATTTTTTGGAAGGATCCATTAAATCTGTTATTTAATATGGTGACAAAGCTGCAGTTCTCATATTTGTATATTGGTTCTCTTATCTCTACGAAAAATTAATTTAGCATAAAGTTTAGTAGACATGTACTTAATTTGCTTTTTTAGTTTGATGGGATTCCATGACATTTGTAAATGTAAATAATTGATTAAATATTTTTCTATAAATTTAAACTTTTGAGAAAAGTGGTTTAATCTATTATTTAGATAATTTTATTTAACATGATAACAATCTAAAATATTAATACTCGAATTCTAGTTGCTTCCTACTTTTACGAAGTAATTTAAGCATAAGTTAGAATTGATTTGTACTTAATATGTAAATGTAATTCCATCTACATACTTAGATGTGAGAGTACAATTAAAATATAA